TTTTTTAAGTAGCCGAAATAAAAAGTAGAAAATAATTTTCAATAACGTAAAAATGCATGGGGTGGGTTTCTCAATTGTTGTAAAAATATTTTATTGGTAAAAGTAGAGTTATTATATTATAAAATATCTTGAAAGACCTTGCACCTACCGACTATTACTTTTTCCAAAATTTAGACAACTTTTTAGTGGGTAAAAAATTCAATTCCCGAGAGGCAGTACAAAATGCCTTTGAAGAGTTTGTTGCCTCCCGTCCAGGTGATTTTTACAAGAAGGGCATCAATAAACTGCCAATGCGTTGGCAAAGATGCATCGATTGCATGGGTGATTACTTCAAATAACAGAAATAAAAAAGTTTGAAAAAATAAGTACTTTCACTTATTGCATACAAAACGGCAATTTCATAGGTAAAGACCTATTATCACATTAAATCCAATGAAAAATCAGTTAACATCTTTTGCAAGTTGGAAGTTTTCTCCATAATATTTATTCACATTTTGGTTTATACTAGACGCATTTATTTTAGCTTCAAGTCGAGTGTATGTCATGATGTAAATACATGTACAGGAAAGTTGGTCGTTATCGTTGAGTAATGTCCCGCAACTCCATACGTAGACTTTCATGTTACGTGACTCTGAATACCACCAGCTACTCTAGATGACGTTGTCCCCGGGACGAGACGCCATGGTGAGATTTAAGATTACTCATATGGCTAAATGTTAAAATTTGACCTCCTACGCTAGAGCCTTATATATTACTTTACTGAGCCGTTTGTTTTACTTCGGATTGTGTAATTGTCAATTTTGTACAGTTAGAGTTCAACCATGATTGAGAACTTATTTGAACATTTGTAACAGTCGTAAAACCAATAGCTGATCCCTTCTCATAAAACACTTGCTAGCGTTATGCTTTGTTGTGAAAAACAAGGAATAAATCAGTTCTGTGCTCAAGATTAGCGACAGCTATATATAAATATACCGACAGCTATATATATATATATATAAATGTACCGTGTGGTGACGGATTAAGAACAGAGTGTCACCACCCCTTTTCATTCCGTGGGTGTCGTAATTCCGACTAAGGGAGAAAACTACGCATAACAACATCACTGCAGAGAGAAGGAAAACTTGACACAAACCCTATACTAACCCGTCTGGCCAGCGTGGTATAGTAGTCCAAAACCTCCCTTCTAAGGAGAGGTCTATGTCTAGCAGTGGACTATTAAAGGCTGTTGATGATGATGATGATATATAAATATTCTAGTAGTATTAGTTCAATATACTTATCAACTCCCGAATTTTAATAAAAATTGTATCTTGAATTTTTATATCGAATGTACTTTTTTAGTACGAAAGCTTAATCTTCTCTCTATGTGCGCTTTCAAGACAACCAACTTGTTTAACAAGTTATCTTCTGCGGTATTGCTGGACCGATACGACCGTACACCGTATCACGAAAAGAGCGTACACCTTCCTCAGAGGCCGGCAACACGCTTGCGACTTCTGCGGCAGCGGTAGTCGCTTTCCATCATGTGACTTATTCGTGCAATGCATTTCGCAACCAATGGAGACCACAGTAGAAAAATGTACACTGGGAAAATATATCATTTTCGTAATTATCTGTTAAGTTACAAATTCTTATAAAATTTATACAGAAATTGTTAATGTCTTCAACTAACATGACAGCGATTGGTATCAAAGAGGTCGGAATGAATACCAAAAGTGGTTGGTATCACCAAGGTCTTTGGTATCTACCAATTTCTGTATATAGGTATTTTTATAAGATTTAATCCGATAGTAAAAAATCCGCTCTTCGAAGAGGAAAGTCAAGAGCATTATTAGATTCTAGTTCATATTTCTTCAGTTTCCTTTTGTTATAATAGTATAGGAAGTAGTACACGTATATTTTAGAGGCAAGTCGGTTGAAATACTTCGATTAATTTTACTACATAAGTACTCTGGCTAGTGGGATCTCACCTACACCCATTTCGAAAATATTTGATATTTAATCTAAAAGTAATTATGCTAAAAGGTGGAGTTTTCCTGAATGAATAGATTAATGCCATCATATAACAGTGATTTTTTCGTGACACAAAGATCTTTGTAGCTATACTAAGTACCATAGTTGCTTTAACAATCCAGTTTCAGCGGTTATATAGGTATTTGGGGGTAATCACCCCAAAAAAAAACACAATCAGAACACAATTTCAATATGATATAAAATATTATTACGAGTATGTACAAGAAATGTTTTCTCATTTAGTTCAGTAATAAATACTCTATAAAAAATATAATACTTTGTTACATTCGATTTATTGTGTTAGATAAATTCTACAACAGATCTTATCCTTGTGTAAAGTAATGCTCTGACAATACAATGTGAGCTTAAATAATGTTTTTTGTAATCTAATACGACTTCAGATCAGAGTATGTTTCTGAATACGTTTCGTACTTCTGAAGAATATTAAATAAAAATCATATAGTGTACATCCAATCCATCACCGTTACATACCTCACGTATGAGGTATGTAACGGTGATGGATTGGATACGGTTACATCCTGTGAACATCCTTGAACATCCTGTTCAATAAAAAAATATAATAGACGCCAACAGCCTGTTGGCGTCTATTGTATTTTTTTTTACAAAACTCTCTAAACGAGATAAAAAATCACCAAGATCTAGTCATGCCAGCCAAATAACGTTTCGTATTCCGAAAACGTAAACGTTGACAGTACCAAAATAGGGTAATTTACTCAGCTTACTCCATAATGTCTTGTTTGTTATTCTGTTGTCGATTCTGAACATCTAAAATTGTCTAAAATTAGAAACGTTTCATTTAGATTATTCACGCTGACTAACTTTAAATGATCTAAATTTTATTATCATTTATGTAATTCTACATACTTTTGAATTGTCTGACGTTTCAAGCATGTTCGTAAAATGCAATATTGATTTAATTACAACAGAGCCAAGTGATGACTACCGTTCAGTCATCACTGACGCTACTTAATAACATAGTACATTTGATTGAAATAACTGTGTATGGGTTTTGATTTCCCTTTAGTGGTACAGAACGTTAAGAATTAAACATCGTCAGTCTACTGTAACTACTTTGTACCATGTTTCACCACTTATTAGACGACTGTTTTTGTTGTTGTAATTAATTGTTGTAAAAGTCTTAAAAGACTTTTACAACAATTAATTAATACGATATAATAATTTACAGATAGTAAGGAAGTATCTATACAATAGATAAACATCTTTATATAGTATAAAAAGTCTGTTTTTTCTTGTACGCTTAGATATTTTAAACTAAGCTACGGATTTTAATGCCGTTCACTCTAATAGACCCTATACATGCATATTATAGCAGAGAAAATCCGGAAATTTCAAAGAGTTGTCGTAAAAAGCATGTTTTTGTGCGCTTATATTGCAAACCCTAGCTAAACCTTATATCTTAAAAAGAACTATAAAAAAGTTTGTAATAGTATATATATATCTCCTAGGATAGCCCACAGTAACCATTTTTATCTTTTAAGTATTAAAAGAAAATATGGGTTATTTACGAATCTATTTGAAATAATAAATTATTATTCCTTGTCCAATTAAATACGTTAGATACGTTGTGCATTTAATGTAAATTAAAAGTGCCCTTTACAGCTTATCACTAAAATGAATATGTTAAGAGATATTAGAGTCGCCGTGTAGGGCTATAAATATTGCATAATTGCTGGTACCCGCGACACCTTTCCGCGTGGAATTTGAAAAGCGATGCCTTAGTGGGTTTGATTGCCGGAGTGTGCAAAATTTAATTTTATGAGAGGAAAAATTAACCTAAGTTACCCCTTAGATAGACAGGTATCTGGTAGTAAAATATTATCAAAATCGGTAGAACCGCTTAGAAGATTACCCGAACAAACAGACAGACAAAAAAATTTAAACTGGTTTTTAAGCATAGGTACCATGCAGATAACCATGTGAGCATGAAAAATCCAATTGTTTTGACATTACAAACAGTCACTGGAATTTTATTTATTTGTATGGATACAGATCGTCTTATCGTCTTATCATAATAATAGTTGAATTACTCCATACTGACACTACATTAGTAGAATTTGTAGTATCTACATTGGATCCGTGCGAAGCCGGGGCGGATCGAGTCTACATATAAATTTATAGAGACATAACTTCCCAAAATTTTCATTGGCACTAGAATAGATGGTGAGCCCTATTAAACTCATCAAGACAATTGCCTATATTTTGTATACCTGCTTCGATACTTTCAATTATAATAATCTATATAACTATACAAAATTGTTAAGTTGGATTGTGTAGGCTTCAAAAACTCAAAAAGTTGCACCGATTGAGCTCAAATTTGGACATGAAATACAAACCCCTTCAAAGATTGTTGTCATCTATTTTTAGTTTTGTTTCTCATTTCTCCTCAATGCCACCACAATTAAACAGGGTACAAACATGCTAATATAACATAATACTGTAATATCTATATTTCACAAGACCAAGGTGGTTTTATCTTCCAAGCTCGACGACTAATCCCCTGACTAGACATATAGGTTAGGTAATAAAATACCAAAAATAAAGTTAGGTCATAACTATATGTGTTTTGGACATTTGTATGGCTTCGGAAAGAATGAAAGTCATTTAATAGCATGGTAACGGCCAATGACGTAGCGACGCCAAAAAGTCTGCTGCGCACTCTCCTGCGATCACTATCGTGAGTAATAACACCCACGCTATTGACGTATGTATCAACTTGGAATCGTTATCACTTTGTATAACTAAGCTTTGACGTATGTTTAGACGGATCGTTTGAGTAAACTTTTCCTAGAATAACTTTTCAACACTAATTACAACCCTCAAGTGGGAATAGTGAACACACGTTAATAGAAGTAGGTATTTAGCACTGAATGGAACTCAAACCCATAACTTTGCGATAAATGCTTGACCACAACACTTTCCCATAAATATAATTCCATTCAAAGATGTATCGCGTAGACGACGCCAAAATGTCTGATGCGCAATTTGGTGCGATCACTTCTGGGTATTCAGGTATACTACGGGATGGGACACCCACGCTATTGACGTATACATGGGTATGACCTTAAATCCTTGTCACTTGGCTCGTAGGAGCATTTGATACGTGACGTACGCGTAAAGTAGGTGTAAGACAGGTCATCGAAATATTTAATTTTTTGTAAGTGTAAGTGATTACCGGAAACACTGTCCCCACGACAGTGTTGTATTATTTTAAAACATCTGCTTCATTTACAGGCAAAGAAACTTTTCTACATTTAATGAGTGAATATCTGTACAAAAATCAAATCATCCGTGAAGGCATAGGCCATCATTGTTCGATATACCGAGTATCTATTTTAATATGTAATGTGATTGTGATTTATAAATATATTAAACATTAAACCACGAGACTACTAGGCGTTGTCCATCTATATCAACCTTTTAAAATATGTGTTGCTTAAGCACTATATTTAGTAGAGATCGATATACCAATTTAGATATAACTTTTTCGTTCAGAGACTGACTATGTCTATCCAAATTTAAGCAACTCTTTCATGTAAAAAAATAACCAATTGTAAAACCAATCACTTTATACAGACAGAAGCGTAAAGCGACTTTGTTTAAATGTAATATACATCACCGAACCACCAAATAAGTGCAGGTGTACGCGGAAGTTATCACCTCGCGGCTAGCTGCTATAGTCGGTGGAGAGCCGGTGGCGGGGGGGGAGAGGTGGGTCGTTAGGCGCCGGTCACCTCACTTAGTCGGTGAAAGCAACGAAAGAATTACTTAACACCGGTTTTCTGTGAGGATCACTCCGGTCGAGCTGGCCTATTTTTGCGCCGAAGCATGGCTCTCCCATGGCTGCACCACCACTTCATGACGCATAACGCAGTGAGGACCTCACACTGCGTTGCCATATAAAAAATTGACTGCCCTAAGAAGAAGCATCAGTGAGACTAAGGAGGGGCTCCTTAGTCTCACACATAGTCACACGTGAAGAATTAACAGATCAGATGTTAGATCATTACATATCTTCTGTCATTTGCACTTTGATTTTTGTTTGTGTTATTAGTTTTGGTAGAAAAAACTAACTAAGTTTTATCATTATATTCTTGACATAAAGTAAAGTTCAAATGGATCTGCTTTTACATTTGCCTTGTTGGCAAAAACAGATTGGCATAAAAATAACTTATAGTTTTATAATACTCACATTTTTCACAAGGTTAAACAAAATCGGATTACCCGTTCATTTATTGCAAACAAGATTTAGTAACTTTTCCTTTCACTCGACTACAATTGTATAGAAATGTAAAAGGTCTCAGGATAAGTTATGTTGTTATGAGGCAAATTGCATTGCAATTCTATTCTTTTAATCTTCATGGCTTAGAAACTTACCGTTTCAATTGCAAACTCGATTCCATTTCAGTAAACTATAACATTATATACGTTTATTGTAATAGATAGAATAGAACTATACGTACAGCATGCGTGTCTAATACTACTGAGTATTACACACGCATGCTGTGCAACATTAGTTTTATGCTTTACTACGATTTGTTTTATAACAGAACCAAATTATCTTTGTTTATACTTAATAATCGTCGACAAACGATAATATCCAGTAATAAAGACAATGATTAAAGCGGCTTCAAATATATTTAGTCAGTTTTACGAGTATATAACAGAATAAGGCGTGATGTGTTTCAAATTTGAACCCCATAAAACCGTTCATGGTACTGTTTCAGACCAAATAGTGGTTAACTAAACTATGAAGAAAATTAAAAAAATCTAAAGGTACTAAATTATTAAGCTGCTAATTTCATTAACACTAACAGTATCAGTACTCTCTATACTCATTTTCAAGTATAGGTTATATAAATTATACTATCCTATACGACCAATAAAAAATATTCAATCTGACTAACTAAATATTGCTTTACACAAAAGAAAGTAAACAGCCTTTTCTCAGTTTAATGGATTACTTTATAATATCCTTTCTACGGGAAACTAAAAAGCACATGGAAAAGTATAAGTTTCAAGGTCTCATAATACTCGAGTGATTCTATGAAATGTGGTTTTCATAGAAATAACCTGTTACCTGGAACTCGCAGGGTAATTTGCATTGTAAAAGGTAACACCTTTTGAAGCAACATCTATTATTTTTATTTTATAGCCAAGTTCTGTTAGCATGAAAAAATAGTGTGTTGGTGCTTTTTATCTTTTACGAATGGTAAAGGAGAACAAAAGAAAGTAGGTTATTATCATTATCTATTTTGTCATATTATCATTGTCATCTCAACTAATCTGAAGAAAATACTACAGTAAAATATCTATTAGAAAACCTATAGTTATTTACAGTTTCATTCCTTCAATATAATTCATATCCGGTAGCATATGTGAAAAGACTGGTATTGTCAAGTATATTTAACGTGACGTCCAGTATTTCATACAACTACTGCTGTCAGACTTCAGATCGTATTTCAAATATGCGTAATTTAAATTTGAAGCAAATTAATGGTCATTTTCGATAATGAAAAATTCAATACAATAATTATAATTTTATTTCGTTTGTCAATGCTCAAGAGATGTATATGATAACAAATTTGTTTTTTTTTTATTTTTCTTTAAAAAAAACCCTGTCTTTTTACCATTTCAACATTTTATCTCTTATAGGATAAAAAAACAATCTGAGAACCCTAGATAATAGTAATACTCGTACTTACCAAAAATTTATTCTAAATTTCTCTTCAGATCAGATACTTGTAAATCCGCGTAGGTGAGAATCGATATATATTTCATAATAAATGTAGAGATAGTAACATTTTCTGAATGCTAAAGTATAAAATTCTCGTGAATTGTACCGATGCCGTCGCTGCCTCCCCACAAGGTAAATAGATAGGAGGATAGGTATAGAGAGCCCGCGCAATCGAGCTACAGGCTTTCCCCGGCGTGACCGAAGCGGGAGCGACGCCGCGTCGCTAAAAATAGACTCTATCAATAGAGTGGCCTGCCGTCACTTGGATTCGTAGTTCAAGTGAACAACCAGTTTCTCGCCGAGCTTAGGAATACCCAAACATGGAGTCTCTTGGGGTGCGAGTAAAAACCAGTGCTCTTTTCTCAAACAAGGATAAATGGTATCATAATACCTTGTCTTTGTTTACAACTTTTATTTTTTAGGACCTTTAAAGGTCTTGTCAGTCACGATAAAAAGGTCAGGCAAATACCATGTAATGTTTAAGAGTTGATTCTATCAAAACAATTTTTTTTTAATAATAATAATAATAATCGACCACATTCAAACAACGCCATCTAGTCCCAAACTAAGAAACTAAGCAGAGCTTGTACTATGGCTACTAGACAACTGATATAAATACATAAATACTTTTTTTTTTGTAAATACATACATATTATACATAGAAACACCCAGACCAAATCAAACATTAAATGTCCATGCACACAAACGTTTGACTTGAGCGGGAATCGAACAAGCGACCTTTGGAATAGCAGTCCGTTACACAAACCACCACGCCATCCGGTCGTCAACACTGCAAAGTGACATCTATAACTTGTATTCACCTACTACAAAACATACCTACTTAATATAAACATAAGACAATTTGTTTGAAATTAAGTTGTCCTGAAAACCGGTATTTCAGCATGAGAAAATGAGTAAACAAAATTACTTTAAATCAAATAATTTAAATACAATATACAGATATAAACTAGACTCTAAAGTCGTAGATCAACACACATCCAATAGCAAACATTCTCTGTTTTGTCAAAAAGTTAGGATTTTTTTAATAAAATTATGCTTATACAAAATCTATGATTTGCCTGTGCCGATCCACAACCGCCTGTTTCCAAGGAGATGAGCCTTTTGAGAAGAAAGGGCAATCAAACTCATGGCCACTCTTTTGCAACTTACAGCTAAATACAATGGCATCATGAAATATACCACAACATTGTTCCGATGTGTGATTTTAATACACTTCACCAACAGTGGTTAAAGTAATATTCATTTTTAAAACACTACATACGCTATTACAGTTATTTTTTACCAGAATACTTTAACATGCACACACACATTCATACACACACACACACACACTCACATTCATACTTGTTATATATATATGTATATGTTCCTATACTTCCTTTTATTTCGTCTTTCTTTTAACATAAAATTTGCATAGTGTCTACTCAATCGGAGACTTGATGTATGTGGGAAGCCTGATAATCTGTCTGACAGGATCTTCCTAGTTTAGATACCAGTCTCTCACAAAGTTCAGCAATAAATAAATATTTTAAAATGTATTATAGATTTTAAGTTAACCTTTGTGAAAGAAAAATTAATAATTATTGTTAGTATTATTTTTCTCGCCATCAATAAGAAGATAATAAGAAAGATAAATATGACTATATTATTATCTTCGTCCCTCGAGCTTGTCACTTAGAATGATAATAGAAAAATATATCAGTCCCATTTTATGATATAAATGATTAAGTTCAGCGTTTCCTTTGCCTGAAATATATCTTTATTTATAATAATGTGATATGAGTGTTTCGAAAGATTATGGCGTGTCGTGAGAAGCTTAACACTCCTAATTATTACTCATCACTATAAAACTATTTTTTGTTATAGACGATGAAAACTATTCAAATGTAGTCACAAACGATAAAAAAGGAATAGAATATCAACTTTTCTAGAAATCGCTACTGAAAATTACTATCTAAGCTTGTCATCATCGACATGGGTACAAAATCCACCAACAATAGTTTTGGGTTGAGGGGTGTATATCAATCTTAGCTTAGATAGTAATTTTCAGCAGCGATTTCCAAGAAAAGTTCTAACGCATCAGAATTTTTCACGGCATTATAAAGACCTTCTATTATAATCTATTATTCATATTTTTTTGGCCTTTATCATAATATCGAATAATCTTTACTTTTGTGATCTATCGATCTTCCAATGATCAGATCATTGAAATAAGTAGATAACTAAACTGCGTAATTTGTTAACAGAATGTCCACCCGCCGCAGACGGCATGGAGCGTTTCGCATGCCCTACGCCTGACCGGCAAGGGCGTTACCGCTGCATTGACGACCACGTACTCTGCGATGGCTTCATTGACTGTCCCAGCGGCGAGGATGAAGATCGACAGGCATGCATGTTCTATAAAACGGTAAATAATTGTTTAACACTAGCTGTACCCTGTCACGCTTCGCTGTGATAAGAAATAGAATACGCTTTAAAGGTAGTATTTGTGTACCTTTGAAGCGTATTGTATTTCGATTTTTTTTCAAAATTGAGGCTCAATTCTTTTAAGTTTTTGAAGCGTACACAAATCAGCTTAACAATTACAATACAAAAAATTAGGAAATCTTTTTGTTCTTACAAAATGATTCACTGCACGACTACAAGGATGATATAGTGGGCCTTCACCTTACTAACTCCCGTTACGTCCTATGCTACACATTCTATACCTACTATTATGGAATGATGGTATTTGCAATTAGTAGATAAACGTAACAGATCGAGTCTGGACATTGAATAGGTTGAAAATTATGTATCGCAAATAAAATCATTTTATAAATATACTTGGCTGGTTAAAAAAACTTTCTTGTTTATTATTTTATTGTCTGGCCTCATCAACATTTCAACGCCACAGCTGTCGCATACTCGTTGCCGACCTGTGCGTTTCAATACTAAACAAGTTATATTCTTTAAAACTAAAACTTCTGTTCTACAGAATGCTAATACTTGTTCACTCTGGCAAATGCAAGTACGTAGCATGTTCATCATTCGTCAGTTTATATTTTATGACTAAAGTTTTTAATACATATCACAAAGTAACTATTACTATTTCGTTTTCTTAAGCACTCGCTCAGTCGTGTTTTTTGAATAAACAAATATTACAGGCAGGTACGCGTACACTTTGTTGTAACAGTGGTTAACAAGAATACCTACTCGTTACCATGTATACCTACTCGTGATACCTACTCGTGACCCATGTGATTCTTATACATTTACATTTGCGATTTTAATTTAAATCTTAAAAATCTACATCATTAAAAATACCTTACAGGTGACATCTGGGGCGGTATAGTATGAGGATGTAATGTCAACTAGGGTGAATTTCCGTACGTTTGGTCGATTCTGCCAAACATATTATAGAAATAAAATACATGTTAAAGAAACTTAATTCATGAACCCATAATATTTTGTGTCGGTGGTGCTTCTATAGATTCTATATAATATTTCTTTTCTACTAAAGCTAAACTTGTTGCAAGGCAACTTAATAACAAAGTTAAAATGAAGAAAAACTTTATTTTTAACCTAACTATATTTATGACCTACATTAAATAGTTATCTCTTTAATAGTTTTTAAATCAATTATTTATTATTACCTTAATTAAATTATTCCTTAATATAGTAGTGGCAGTAGTGATCCGTTCTATGAAATCATTTTTTTTTTAATATAAATATTCTTTATCAGAGGTACATGTAACAACGTTCATCTTTTTAGTGATCAAGCTAACACGATGTATTGTTTACAGACAAAAGCCCACTTGGATGTTCTGGCTGACGCGCTGTTGCGATGGGCGCGCGGCCGTTAAAAACGGCACCCTTCCCGGACCCCGACCCTTGAGTGATCCAATACCTGACAATGCTACACGGACCTCATACAAATCATACGATCTATCGATCTCCGTGCTTATATCTGATCAGTGAAAGCTGCGAACTCCCAGGAATAGTATTCGGACGCAACCAGTAGTAACTCGTACATGCGTTGAACGTAATGAAACATATCAAGTAGTGGTGCAGCCAAAACATGAACACTTAAAGTGTAGTGTAAGGTTTCCGACTGCGTAAATGAGACTACAGAATCGACGCGTGCCAGTGTACGATCTCCTCGATCTAGGAAAGGGAAGCAGTGATACATACGATCTGGTTTCGTCCAAATTAAACCACTCCGCAGCTGATTTATTTTCCATGTACCTATTTCATAACTTCTAGCACTTATTAAACTAAAATGTGAGACTGGTAGTCAACATTGTTAGACAGTAGAACATATACATAAATATTTTAGAATAGTTCTTCATTTGACGAAACGTAAATGTATGTCGATTTGTTACAATATTTATTCAAGTGTATTTACTCTATATTAAGTTATGACATTCCTTATATTAACGTGGGTTGTAAAATAAATAAGAGAAATCTAAAAGTATGTTGTATATACATACACACCTAACGAGTTTTTTATATTATTTAATTGTCGGCCTACCATGTTTGGGGCGAGCATTTGCAGACACTCGGTCATGCCTATAGTACCGGCAGATACTCGCTCCTGGCAGAAATTGTTTGTTATTTTTCCCGGCTTGTCAATAATTGTGTAAATTATTTTCAAATTACAATTGTTAAGATATAATTAAACATAAATTAATATCAACACGAGGCAGCTATTGTGTGTTTTAAAATACTCCACCAAATATATGTATGTTAGTTGATATTATATTTTTTTGTGATAATATGTTTTTTGTTACGGGTATTTCGCAGTACGATTAGTGTAAAATTAGTGTTTTGACTGAATTTAATTGTGATTGCCTTTCGCCGATGAAGTCTGGGGCTCTTCCGACTTTAAACATGTTCTAGTCATTGATCAGTTCCTATCATTTATACGTACTGAGTTGGATATATATTAATAGTTTTTAACACGAAATAAATAACATTTATTAAATGATTTACCACTTGTGTAAACATTGGAATTCATTGGCATGATTTAAGTAAAGAAAACCATATATTAAAAAAAACACTATGTTCAATTGTTATATTTTTAAACTTTAAACCTATATGCATTTCAACATTACTCTTATAACCGAGATTTGTTGCCGTAGAACAACAGAATGTGATGCATAACAATATTTAACATATCAGAAATTGAGTTTGTAAATTAATAAGTAGCCAAAACATCTATTTCAACTTACAAACTTCAACAGGTATTGTGCACGCATAGACCATGTTTGACATATTAAACAGGCGCAAAAATATACATTAAGCCTCAAAAAGTTATCAAACCGAATACTAAGTTCTTCAACGAACAACTCAACATAAATATTGTTCACATTCAATAATAAGTATACAGATTACTTAGATCACCTGTGATCTGTATTAAGCTAGTCAAATGCGATAACTTAACTAAACAATTATGACTATTGTAATCCTTAGAAATATATTGTTTAGTAAGAATAAGTAGTCAATGTTTGCACCAACAGTTAATAACATAAAAATTCAAGCACCTCATGTATGTACGTGTGTAGTTAGTTTCATTGGTATCAACTAGGCGTAATTAATCATTATTAAATTTCTGTGTAGGGAATATGATGACTAGTATTGAAATATTTAATAAATGGATTGAGAGATTTGTGTCCTGACCTTGACCTGTGTGAGATTTTAGAGGCACATCAAAGTATTTCTGTATTCTAAACTGTACATTAGCATTTAAAAATACCGCCGACAGTACTCAATTATAAATAAACACCTCTGTAGTTTGTTTGAACTTTCAAAGTTCCTGAGCCAACAGATTCAGAGGTATTTATAATATCAATTTAAAATTTACCAAAAAAAACTATGTCTATCAAGTTTATTTTTGTTGACGACTTCCTTTGGTGTTTACTCTCTATTAGGACTTATCGTGATAACAGACAGTTTATCAGCATTTAGCCTTATTTTACAACCTTATCAATTCATAGCACCCGCCAAATTTATATATTATAAATAATAGAAAGTTCTAATGGGCTTTTTGACGAAGTACTTCAGTGTTTAGAAACCCTTTCATAATAATTTAATAAGAGACATACATGACATGAGTGCAAAGTAATTCAATAGAAAATTCGTAGAAATTGAGTTATAAGGTAATGTAATAGAAATGCTTAAAGGTCTTATGTGAATAACAGCTAACTCTGACTAAAGTTCAACCAAGTTATTAATGCTTTACACCAACAATACTGCTTAAATAGCATTTCGCTTTATTTGGAGTATGTGTAGTAGGTACAAATACTCCAAAATATATATTTTAGGATCTTTTTACTTTTAGCAACCTATTGTGTCCTGAATAGGGTGTTAAAATGTAAACATGTTAGTCCCATAAATTATTTTATATTTCCCTTCTTCTGTTGAAATGAAAATCGTGTGCCAATGAATTTCGAAGGGAAATTAGAATTGTACTAAGGCAGCATATTATAAGCTACTTACCCACGATTATATTTTTGACTACGAGCTACTATCGAATTAGATATAAAGCAACAAATAGTTTAATTTCCACCAACGCTATTCAGCACATTCTGGATTTCTTGTAATACACAGTTTGTAAATTTAAATTTTATAATTTCAATTGAAACACAATAAATTATCTTTATAAAATTAATCTAATTGCACTTAAATTTGCCTGTTTCGTATGTGCACAGCAATTTATTGTAATATTTTAAATACCTATAGGTTAAGACGCAAATTAAATTTCGAGAATAGACTATGTACCTACCTATTTTCATGTTATTAATATTAATTTAATAAATATATTAATAAATACATGCGTATAGAATCTATGGCAGAATTATGTTAATCTGTATTAAATACAGGCTCGTTTAGAAACTTTTAATTACCTGTTACCCACCATTAACTCAAAGCTTACTTGACAGCTAACTTTGATCCCAAACTGATTAATATTTGTTTCTATGTACCTACATGTTATTTAAAAAACATTCTTCACTTGTCAATTTTATGGATGTATATGTACGTAGAATAAAGATGATACTAATCGTTGTCCAGTGCAGTGTCTCAATGACTCGTAACGTGGGTGAAGACGCTTCTTGCCGACACTACTACCGCTCATGTGTCTTTGCCATCACTTCAGCGCACCCAACACCACCTTTTTATTATATTTATATCTAGTAATTGTTCCAACATATGTAAGCACGTACTTTGAGCACAACTTGTTAAATACATATAATGAATGCCTATATACATTTATAAAACATTTCTAAACACTTTTATACGATTCGCATTAACATGCGACTGAAAATTAATCTAATTGCAATAAAACACTTTGCAACTACGTCTATTTTAGAAAAGAAAATGATGCTCATTAAATCTTCTGAACTCAGTTCAAATTAGATATTATTGTAATATCTATTTCTCATAACGTACAGTACTTATACCTACCTAAATATCTCTCTAACTCAAATGGTGAAAAGTACTTCGACGATATTTATTGTTGGAGAACAATATTTTTAGATGTCACACTTGTAGTGGATTATTACACAAAGCTCTTAAGTTGATCAATTATAGACTTCATAGAAATGTTGCTGCGTTTAACTACGTCAATTTCATGAAAAAAATCAATGCGTTCATCAGCTGTTCTTGAAAATATTTTTTTTAAGAATGCAACTATTTTTGTAGATACATATTTAATTGAATGCCACTATATAGAGGTTAACATAGGTATATTTTCTAATAGATTTGTGTTTTCTAAAAGACAAACCAATAGCTATCTCCAATCGCACAAACTGTATCATTGGAACTAAAAAAAAAATAACGCGCTCTAATATCAGGTTGACATGTTCAGACTAGACGCATTAACAGACGACAAACAACGCTCGTCACCATTCAACCCGGCTGCTACGGCTGTTGTCATCGCATAGCTTGAATGAAAAATAGAATGGAATGATCTCCAAAGAGAACGTAGATTATATTTCCCGAAGCGTCAAGGAGCGCTTACAACAAAAAATATAATGTTAACCAAAGTAGCAAGACGTCTTGCTGAAACAACTGTGCAGATCTTAGAGAATTTTAACGTAATCAAATCTTTCTTTCCCAGTACCATTCTCTCTGAGAATATTCTCACATTTTCAACCGTGTCATGGAGTTGCCTTGACATTTCGCAGGATATGTAGAGCAACTCATTTGGCGATAATCTTATAACGACTACGCTGTTTTGTAGGCGTAATATACTTTTGGACTATTTATTATGTATTGTTAATTACTATGTATGTTGTATTAAGAAAAAAAATTAAAAACAAAAATAAATGTTATTAAATGCCTCAGCCAGATACCATTTGTGTTTTATTTTTCAATTTCTTCTCACACGGAAATCGCCTAAAGACAAAGCACTAACATAGGACAAGTGGCGACTCACCGGCGAATAAAAATAGAGCACCGCACCGGTCTAGTACTAGGGTTAAAGACGATTCTCTGTAAGATCAAGCCAGTTTCTCAGGAGAGTTACGCCAATTTCAGCTGACTTGGCTTATAATAATGTGTGTATGAGTGTAGGAATTGTTGTCCCTTTTGTTGTTGTCTCTTCTAGTTGGGTTTCAATAAAACATACCAAAAATTTCATAATAACTTGCCACATTCGTATTCATTCGAGTGAGTTTAAAATTGCTCGTAGGGCTAATTAGTCGGCTAATAGCTTAAATAAATTAATATATATGTGAAGCTCATTGGTATGAAATAGTATAAAAAATTATAGTATTACAATAACAGTGAATGTACCATTTGAACAGTACTATATATTACGGGTAAATAAACTTATTATAATAAAGACAGCTGGTTTCAGAGG